TACTTGTGTGCAAATGAAGGCTTTAGATTCTGTGTTGGTTGCTCAGCTTTGAGTACAAAACAACTGTTTCTTAATCATTTTGATCATAGAGGGCAAGTTTTTTCTCATCATTGCAACCAACACAGATAAAGATGTCTAGGGCAATCATTAAGAACAATCAATAAATCAAATTGGGAATCAGTCAATCAATTATGCCATGAAAATTTCCATAAAGTCAGCAGAATTATAATAAAATGCCTACCTTCCAAGATGGCCACCAGGACAGAGTTGCAAGAGATTCATTCTGTCAACTTTGAGAAGTTCAACTCCTGGAAGATTTCTGAAAGCCTGGCGAATTCCATGATCTTCGTTGTAGATGACCAAGGGCCCCCTGCGCATAGTATAACGACGGTTCCTCATTTTTCCCTAGAATATTCAAACAGAAAGTCAAAGAATAAGCTTCTATTTAACATTTACTGTTCCAAATTATATACATTTACTGCTATTTTGTCTAGTATTTGCATTACACTGAAACGTCTGTCCAAAAAGAACTTCCAGAAAGAAGAAGCTCGGCTTATCAATGCTTATAAATGTTTAATAGCTAGCACCAAACAAACTACAGTGAGGTGAAGAATTCTTTGGGCTTTTCAACCCATTGCTCCTTATTTTAATCCTCCTGTTTTATTGATAAAAGCAATCAAGTATATAAATATTATGAATTTAAATTTTGTTGTAATGACTATCACCAGAACAATTCAGGATGCATACAGACTTTGAAAGTCAACCCCCTGTTTCTTAAAACCAACCTGACCCCAGAGTACTAACTCTAAGAAAGGCAGAACACATACAAAGCCAGGGGGTTTACTGCCTGGCAACTTTTAAACTGCAGGCCTTGAAAGGAGAGGTGCTGGAGCTCAATAAAGCACCTTTGCATATGCCTAAATGGAGCTTGATTGATTGAGCACCTAGTGTGTTACTGCTTTTGAAAAACTGAATGCAAAGAACAAAATTTTGTTATTAATGATATTTGATGATGCTCAATCGAGCGCCTAGAAAGTTGAAGGTGTTCTGTTTGTCGAGTGTCTGCTTTTTGCTCCTTACAAGGCCTGCAGCTACCTTGAATTCACATTTAAGGGCACTCTGTCCCGTCAGCCAACTGTTTACATAAACAAAAGGTTGTCTTTAATTGATATTGGAAAATCTTGAGAATTTGTCTTGCATTGCTGATAGGAAAATGTGACAATAGCCTTTTGTACAACAGGACCAATTTAGGTGACCCCTAGTATTCATTAGGACATTGTGCTGTTAAACATGAAACTCTAGAATAATTTGTAGGTTATCTGTTCTAGGGACAAAGTCAGTTCCAATAGTGAATACAAAACAAACAAATGCAAAACTGTTATATTCTTAATAAACCACTCTAATTTAAAAGATAAGGAATGCATCTAAGAAGTGAGCTCAGCCGAGTACATTTAAAGTGAATAATCATTTTGATCATAGAGGGCAAGTTTTTTTCATCATTGCTCACATTTAGAATTTCCCAGTGGACTATCAACAGCAGATTATAGAAAAATGGAGGAGGGAGGCAGGAATTGGAAATTTACCATATGAATTGAACATGTTTGGAAGGAAATAGAAGCAAAGAATCTAGTCTTAAAAGTGTTCATGACAGAATAGTAGTCCTTGTTATATTAATTATAATTGTTTGATAATTTTCTAACATAATTAGAGAAATAAACTTCCACTGCATTCTTTAAGAAAAGCAAGTTACCTTTCCAGCCCGGATTTTCTTAGAGTCGATGCATTTCTGCACATCATCATATGCATCAAGTTTCTTCAAAAGAGCCACAGCTGCTTTTGTCTTTGTCAAGCTCTCGACTCCATTTGAAACAACGAGTGGTACTTCTGGTATTTTTTCAATTTTATGTCCACGGGCCATAACCAAAGCTGGAAGAGCAGTGGCAGCAATTCCCGAGACCGTAGCATACCTACGCTGGTTCTTGTTGATGTGACGATGCCAGCGACGCCAGATTCTCGTGGGTGCAAACATTCGTCCACCACGGCACATCTTCACATGGTTAAGGAAGACCGATATGATATAGATAATAAATAGGCAAAATTGACAATGCAAAATCTATTTTTGTTTTCTGATTCTCTTCATTGATTTATTTGATGTATTCAATTCAACAAGTAATATAATTTAGGGGGAAGAATCCCCCGTTTTGTCTCAAGATTCCCTTTTTAAATTGGACAATTCTGGTAGGGAAATCTGAAGAACTTTTTTACCAAAATAGGTTGAAAACCATGTGAGCTTCTGGAATCTGACCTCTCTCAAGAGGTTTTTTATCAATTGACCTTTTTTATGAATATTGGACCCGCTCTTGACATTCCTACCAAGACCCTACCTTCTCTATTAAAAAGATGTAAAATTAAAAAACAAGCTTATTTAGCAAGAATTTATTTTCATTTAAAAATCTATTTCTTTATGAATTAAACTTAATGTAGCAGAAATCAAAGATGTTTCTTTCAAGTGACATTAAAAAGAGGTCATCAAGAACATCTTTGATCAGATCTTCAAAAATGTCACTCTCATAAGAAAATGACAAATCAATCTGCCTTCTAATTATACCACTACTGTCACTGTTACTTCATCTGGTCTTAAGGAGAAAATCTTATTTCAATTTGAAATCAGTTTTCTTTTAAGAGCACAGATGATCCTAACATACAGCATGGTGCATTTTTCAAAGGCAAAAGAATATTTGAGGAAATTTTCAGATTGTTGTTTAAAAATTTTAAATATTCATAAATATATAAGAAAGCTAAATAAAATGGTATTTTAGATATATATATATATATCAAATGGAGAATATAAGAAAATTTGCAATTGGTTTTTCCAACTTGCGACACAGAAAATCCACTATAGGTTTTAAGGTTTTAAAAAAAGGAATATGTTTTGGCGTTTGTACAGAATGTTTACTTTAATCTCCTTGGCTAATGAGGCCCTTAAAAAGGTGGAGGATACTTATTCCACTGTGCATAGATTCACCAGGCCCGGTCATAAGACTTTTAGCAGGGGAGCAGTAAACATCTCTCCTAATTATCTCTGGGTGAGCTATTTGCAGATAAAAAAGAGTAGAAACAAAGCAAAAATGGATTTCAAGGAGAGTAATCTGTAGCTTCCCTAAGGCATTTGAGGAGAGCCTGGAGGGGAGAAAGAGCGTTGGCTCTCCTCAACCAATTAGAGGAAATATGGATCTCGTATTGAATGATGTGGCGTTCTTTAAAGGAAACATGGTATGTAACATGTTTATGTAACATTTAGTAATTTTTCTAACACTTTTTGTATTGTATGTTTGGAAAGGTTTAAAGTTGGAAGCATTGATGTTGGACTCTCAGACCATCAGATATTGCGTTGTAAAAATAGATTCAACAATCAAATGTTAGTTAATGAACAAAGATAATTTTGTTGAAAGATACATTTCCAAAAGCTCCCTGGCCAGATCTGTGGGTACCACCACCACGGACACGGGGAATACGAGCAACAGCACGACCAGTTCCCCATGACTCAGCAGAGGTCTGGTGACCAGCAAGTCGGCTCACTGCATATGGTTGTCTCTTATTTTTGGCAACATTGGCATGGACAAAGTTCACAACATCGTGCCGGATTGGAGAACAGAAAACGGCTGGCAAAGGAATTTGCTCCGAAGATTCTGCCTTTTCACCTTGATCGTTAAATACTGAAACTAATGGTCTGCTGGCCTAAAAAGAAAAAACTAGCTTAGTTAATATTGAGTGCAAATTGCAAGGGTGCAAATTGGTGGCAGACATCTGGGGTGGCAAGGGGGTGTTTGCCCCCTAATATTTTGGAGGACAATAGTATTTTGTTCTAAAACAATGGGAAATATAATAAAACATCTTCTTATCAAACAATAGGCTTGCCCCCAATATTTAACAAAATGTCTGCCCCTGATACAAATGCTTAATACCTTCCCAAACTGAAGAGTACAGCAGTTTTCAACAAGATCTCATGTGGCACTGCAAACATCATGTCGCATGAATCTCCGGGACAAAACAGAATGAAAACTCATTCAGGCAACGATGAAGCTGCACAATCTGATGAAACTTTTGGCCATATTGTCTTTGATCTTGCAAGGTTTGTATACCAATTTAATTTAAAGGTATTAAGAATATATATATAATAGGAAAATCATTCAAAAAATGCCCCTGCTTGTATGATCATAAGTTCTCAAATTTCCATAGACAGTTAACGCGAGTTGGAAAGCAGTTTTCTAAAAGATCCCAGGTGTGCAAACGCAAAATTTAAACTGTACAAGTCTGCACTTTGGTAAAATTGTGCATTAAATTGTGTATATGGTTGCACACCTAAGGATATGGAGAAAGATAAGATGGCTTTGAAAAAAGCAAACATTTAGTAAACTAAAGCTTTTTGTCAGACACTCTTCAGCGTTTAAAACGTCAGAACATAGATCAAAACTCTACGCTAGGAAATATATATATATCCCAGTTGTGGATCGAAATAGGCCAATCAGGAAACTCGAGCACACGACTGTTGAGGTTGACCAATCAGAAAGATAAGAAAATTGACATGACTGATAGTCATGTTGTATCTATCAATTCAATGCAAGATATATATTGTGTTTTTCGAGGAAATACGATTCTTCATTTGCCCCAAGCAATAGGAAATACCTATGTCATGCCCACATCTAAAAAAAGCCTCACCCTAAACCAGGTGTGCAGGGATATTTTCGAGAAAAAATCTCCAGTGTGCACTTGCCATACTTTGCAGTCTAAATAACTACTAGCACAAAATTTTTTGGATTATATATATAATATATATAGTTCTCCCATTTCAGTGGCAATAATTCAGGCATTTCTTAATATCTAAATACATAAAACTGCCTTCTTAAAGTATGATTTGATTATGCATATCCTATAATTCTAAGCATTCCAAGGTGCATTCCATGTTCTTAGGCCTGAGGATCTTCGGCATACACCCAGGTCTTTTTCAACGATCAGCATGCAAACCAACAAAATATCTTTTGGCATGCATAAAACAAGTAGCCACCTACATAGTTGACACGAAAAAGAATAAAATAAAGACACATGCGCCACAGTTTTCTCTATTAATCAGTTTTCTTTGTCTGCCATACAATATTTACAGTTTTACTAATTGCTCATATTTTTGGGCAAACAAATACCCCTGGTGGACCTTCAGCGTATAGTTGACATCAAATGCAGCCTGGAAGGCATTACCCCTGAATACTGTTTCAATGGCCTTTATAAAACTAAGTCCAACATCACTTTTGTATATAAATAAAATTTTGATTTATAACCAAGCTGTTTCCAAATTCTCACACTTTCATATTTAATCCCACAGAATTTATTAATAGCAATGTTTTAAAAAGTGACAATAAATCGTTTACAGCGATGTCAAATGAGCAATAACATTTTCAAATATTTTGGAGTGTCAAATTATGCCTAAGCAAAATTAACTGTACAATAATTTCTCAGAAGTCAAAACTTTCCGGCATTTATCGATGCAGGATCATCTGTACCATTGGAAGTTTATCGAAACACGGACAATGTTAACGTTTCGTCTTTGATGGGTCTAATTTCTTTAAACTACCCATCCGATAAGCAAAAAGGAATTCCAATTCAAACACTAAAGTTTTTACAAAAATGAGCGAAAATGGTAGCAAAAAGCAGCCAACTGAAAATTACGTTAATTTCGATGAATCAGGACAGGCTTTTTGTATGAATATGAGCATTTTACTCAAAATGTCGAGCGATGGCAAGCTGGAAGACTGGGGAAAAGGGCCTAGTTAAATGTGAGCCGCCGTGGAAAGGAAATCTTTGCACGGCGAGAAAGACACAGTAAACTGCTTGATGCTACAGATAAACTCAGAAACAACAATTGGCGTTCTTCTGCGTTGGATGAGAAAGATTTCAAGAAATGTATTTGAGGAATTTCTTACCATTTTTACCTTATTTCCCGTCCACTTCGGGTTTTAATCACGAGTTGATGGCTGCCTGAAAGAAATGCCAAAGTATTACACGTGTAGTAAGGGGACTGGTGCGAGAAATTCTCTCGCGGGTTAATATCGGGTGAGTATCAATGTCTCGCGGGTGAATATCGGGTGACCCTCCAACTTCACCTGGGGGTTCCTTAATTCAGCCAGCTCTTAGATGGGGCTTATTGGAGAGGGCTTAAACGGGGGAGGGGGCTGGCATGTACAGATAGTCTTCAAATTGCTACTAATATAGCAAATTTTGTAGCTTTTTCACAAGTTATTTTCACTTATTATTCTTATCACTTTTCACTTCGCAAAATATCAAATCACAGTTTTTTCTCAATTGTTCTCTTGTAAAAGGTTATCAAAACGCAAAAGTTGGCATGTTCTGGTGAGGGGTTTTGCAAAGGTTGGGAATTTTAAACGATTTTCTTTCTATTATTAGGGCCTATTCAAAGGGTTTCCATTCTAGGGGTTTTTTACGAAGATTCACGGCATTCCTAGCCTGCATCAAAAACCAAACTATTAGGGCTTACATATTTTAGGTGCCGTTGATATAGTTCTTTATTAACTAAATTTAGACTGGTTCATCAAAAAATTTTTTATTTCCTAAAATTCCGGAAAGTATTTTGTCTCCTTTGGCTTCCGTGGCTTGTGACGTGTCCCACACATACCTAAACTTTGCAGTCTGTTACAGCGTAGCTTGTTTGTCTCACATTTCTCGTTCAATTTGGTACGCTGTACTAGATTTCCCACACAATTTATAATGCCCTGCCTCCTAATATTTCTTAATCATTTTTTTCAAACTAGGAAAACAATTAGGGGACCTTTTATCTGGTAAGGTAAAACAGCACAGGAGCCGCGCACCAGTCTAAATGTGGAAGGGCTGATTCGGGCGTGATCCAATTTTTTAGGTCACGCCCTCTAAAACGCCGGAAAACGCCCTTTTCGGAAAACACCCAATATGTCTTCGAAAGATTTTTGTCATAGTCTTTCAAAGACCGTTATCGAAAATCAAACATATTCAATTTCTAAGACTGTCTTTGAAAGACAAAAATATTTGTCTTCGAAAAGCGCATACGGCAGATTTTTGCCTTTGGAATGCTCAAGACAAAAATCTTCGTCTTTCAAAGACAAAAGTCTGCCGTGTGCGGTGGGCTTTAGGGTCCGTGCGGCAAAGCCATCCTAGGGATAGCCACTGGCGAATTACCCCGGATGCAAGAGTCTCCATCATTTAGTATAAGAACTAAAGTTCAAAACTAGTCACTGGAATATTTTTATGAGGGAGGATTCATTCTTTGCCACTGCAGCCGTCTACGATACTTTATCCCCGGATCCATGAAACTCTGGTGCCCAAGATACGGGCGAAAATTCAGCAGCTTGCATAATTTTAAGCTTGAATTGTTAGACTGCTTTTGAAATTTTGTAACTTTTTATGGCAACCTATTCCCAAGGTTCCAGAGTCTCCATTATTCAGACCCAGAAACATAGCTCGAAACTAGTTATAGGAATACTTGGTTTGAGCAAGGACTGGAAAATAATCCTTCCCTTCTTTCCTTCGCATCCACACATTCTCTGCCACCGCAGCCATCTACAATATTTTATCCCTGGAATCATGAGGCTCTGGTACCCAGTGTAGGCTTCAGACCCATAAACATAGCTCGAAACTAGTTATAGGAATACTTGGTTTGAGCAAGGACTGGAAAATAATCCTTCCCTTCTTTCCTTCGCATCCACACATTCTCTGCCACCGCAGCCATCTACAATATTTTATCCCTGGAATCATGAGGCTCTGGTACCCAGTGTAGGCTTCAGACCCAGAAACATAGCTCGAAACTAGTTATAGGAATACTTGGTTTGAGCAAGGACTGGAAAATAATCCTTCCCTTCTTTCCTTCGCATCCACACATTCTCTGCCACCGCAGCCATCTACAATATTTTATCCCTGGAATCATGAGGCTCTGGTACCCAGTGTAGGCTTCAGACCCAGAAACATAGCTCGAAACTAGTTATAGGAATACTTGGTTTGAGCAAGGACTGGAAAACAATCCTTCCCTTCTTTCCTTCGCATCCACACATTCTCTGCCACCGCAGCCATCTACAATATTTTGTCCCTGGAATCACGAGGCTCTGGTACCCAGTGTAGGCAATCTGCCAAATACGCCTTATTCAGAGGGGCAACTTTAGTCAAGGGACTCGATGTCATTCGCACAGAAAGAGCCCTCTACCACACTCAAGTTCAAAATAAGTCTTTTACGTATTTGCAGATGATACTAACATTTCCTATGAATCTGAAAATCTGAACCTGCTTAAAAAAGTGGTAAACAAAGAATTGAAAAAAGTGAAAGTGTGGCTTGATGTAAATAAACTTGCTCTGAATATAGATAAAACTAATTTTGCTATTTTTAAGTCACCTCAGCAATTTTGCCCTGTCACAGTTAGTATCAAAATTGGGAACCTTCCAATCAGAAAGAGCTGTTATGTCAAATTTCTTTGTGTTCCTTTAGACGAAAATCTCTAATGGAAATATCACTTAACAGAACTTTCAAAAAAACTAGCTCTTCAAAACTTGTGGCATGTTCTTCAGAATTAGACACTTTTTACCAATTAACGTTTTGATTTGTCTTTATAATTCTTTATTTTCACCTTTCCTGCAGTATGGCATATTAGTTTGGGGCCTTACCGATGAGACTTCTATTAATTGGCAGAGCCCGGTCGTCCTTCCATCTAGCAGTTTTGGAATCGATCTACATAAAAACGAAAAAGCCGCCATTGTGTAGACAGAAGAAGTTCGTTTTCTCTCTTGGACTCCATTGGTAATTTTTCTTTAGGCTCGCGGCACTGATTGGTCAACTATACCGGTCTTGTGCTTGCTTTTTTCTGATTGGCCTATTTCGATCCACAACTGGGTATATATTTTCCATCGTGTTCTTTCGGAACCTTATTCTGACGTTCTATGCTCTGAGGAGTGTCAGACGAAAAAGCTTTTGTTAAATGTTTGCTTTTTTCAAAGCCATTTTCAAATTCTGTACCGCAAAAAGATTATTCATTTATATTAATCCTGTGTTCTTGCTACAGAAGAGGGTTGTAAAGGCAATTTCATTTCAAAACCTTTCTTCTCTTTCCACTCCAATCTTTTCTGACTTGAAGATTTTAAAGCTGCATGATCTTTTTCAGCTGAAATTATTATGTTTATGATTGTGTAAATAAAATTTCTCCCACATGTTTTCATTCCTTCTTTGAATTAATTGAATCTGCTCATTCATATCATACACATCACGCAACTAATAAAGATATTTTTCTAAATCAGAAAAATACCCTTGAATATGGTCTTAGGTCAGTTCGTTATTTTGGAGCAAAATGCTGGAATAACATTTCCTTGGAGATAAAAAGTTCAAAATGTGCTTGTAGTTTTCGTTGCAAACTTAAGACTTTTCTCTTTGAAAACAAATACTGTTCTTGAAAAGTCCCCATTCAGTCCAAAGTTAGATGCATAAATTGTTCAAAGAAATTTTGAAAGAATTAGCCAATCAGTTATAAATAGGGGGTGCTCTCTCCTCGATTAGCCTAGCTACTGAGAGAGCCCCTCCTTAAGAAATTCCCCTACATACAATTCCTTTGTCTTCTTGATGCAATACTGTATATTGTTTCTTTTAGGCTTCTTGTGTAGCATTTATCTGTAGTGACCATTGTCTAAACGTAATCATGTCCTCCATTGTGTCTCTGTCATTAACACTTCCCATTGTCTTCGTATCACCGTAACGTAATTTGTATAGCCTCTCGTTTTATTTGTATACGCCCTGTATTTAAGTCAGTCAGTAAATTCATCAAGATGCAACCGTCTCGCAACATCGTCTCTTGCTGGCTCCGTGTTTTCTGCACGTTAAATCAGACATAAAAAACGACAGCATTCGCAACAACAAAACCAAAATTAAATATAGGAACATCACCAATCAGCGTTCCTATATATCTTTGTATTAATTAGTTAAGCATGCTATATCTAATTGTATTCAAATTTTGTCTTTTTTGGATTGTATGTAGTGGAATTTTGAAATTTTATGAAACTGAACTGAAACTGAACTGGTAACAACGAAAGAGCATACCTTAACACGCAGGGACAAACAACGCAGATAAAGAAACGATAGTGTTATACCATAAATAACTCCCATGGTAACAAAGTCATTATGTACAAATAACATACATCACACCCGAAGTGAGTAGGAATATACATTTTAGATAGTCCAACGCCCCGAGCTGGTCAGGGTACCAATGATTCTGGACTTCGGAATGTATGGAATATACGTTAAGACCTATCTTAAACCGTCGCAACAACATACGTTATCCATTTTGCAGCTAAACTGTTTGCAAGACTCATCCGTACGCCGGTAGTCCCAGGCCCCGAGCTGGTCAGGGCCCCAAAGTTTCTGACAATAACAATAGCTCGTTAAGTATTTTATCAATAAAAAAGGGGGTCCTAAAAAGCTCAGGGAGGAGGACGGAAAAATCGGAAAATATACAAAAGGCGGGAGGGGTGTTCATTTAGCACCTCTGACCATGATAAGTTTACTGACGACAACGACAATGTAAATCCTGTTTGTATTATTTTACGTAGAGTATCAACAGCCTTTGATATCAATGGTAACATATGACATTGTCTCGCAGGACGCCAATCACAAACACTGTAATATTGATAATATTAATATCACAAACACTGTAATACTGATCGCCAAAATCACATAATTGTAATATCGATAACATCAATATCACAACACTTTAATATTGACAATATCAGTATCACAACACTGTAATATTGATAACATCAATATCACAACACTGTAATATTGACAATATCAGTATCACAACACTGTAATATTGACAATATCAGTATCAAAAACACTGTAATATTGACAATATCAGTATCACAACACTGTAATATTGATAACATTAAAATTACAAACACTGTAATAATGACAATATCAGTATCACAATACTGTAATATTGATAACATCAAAATAACAAACACTGTAATAATGACAATATCAGTATCACAACACTGTAATATTGATAACATCAGTATCACAAACACTGTAATATTAACAATATCAGTATCACAACACTGTAATATTGATAACATCAGTATCACAAACACTGTAATATTAACAATATCAGTATCACAACACTGTAATATTGATAACATCAGTATCACAAACACTGTAATATTAACAATATCAGTATCACAACACTGTAATATTGATAACATCAGTATCACAAACACTGTAATATTAACAATATCAGTATCACAACACTGTAATATTGATAACATCAGTATCACAAACACTGTAATATTAACAATATCAGTATCACAACACTGTAATATTGATAACATCAGTATCACAAACACTGTAATATTAACAATATCAGTATCACAACACTGTAATATTGATAACATCAGTATCACAAACACTGTAATATTAACAATATCAGTATCACAACACTGTAATATTGATAACATCAGTATCACAAACACTGTAATATTAACAATATCAGTATCACAACACTGTAATATTGATAACATCAAAATTACAAACACTGTTTAAATGACAATATCAGTATCACAAACACTGTTATTTTGATAGTAATAATCATCACAATGATCGATGATATTTTAACCGGGATAATAATTATCACAAAACAATGCGCTATACACAAGACTACAAAGGTGATGGAATATCTTTTAACGAGGTCATGAGGGCTCTGCTTTGTGCTTTGCCTAAAAGGTTTTCCTAACATCATGGTCTTTTGAGGCTATTTATAGTAAAATCTTTGACCTTTTGAGCGAGAATTGGAGTTTCATTCTAGCGGCTACCCTCTTGTAGCCCTAACCTTTCTCAATTATCACCTTCAACCTTTAACTTTTGACCTCAATACCCGCGTATTTGAAACACTGCGAAAACTGTAGCTGAGTAAACACAGCCCTGATTCGGGTTACCAAGGTTAAAGAACTAATATGGACGTTTACTATGAATAACTGCCAATAAGAGGGATTCGGGCCATTTTCCTACGGGTTTCAACTCTCAACTCTGAACTTACAGACCTTTGACTCGTCTTTTTCTTTCTAAACAGAGCATGACAGAAGGCAGGGTAGGAGATACTCTCGTGGGTCGTAGAGCTGACGTATAAGCAAGATGTGGCTGATGTCACTGTTCGAAGTCACTGTGGATCACAAAGACGTGACAATTTGACCCTTGACCCTGGCTAAGTTATTTGACCTTACTTTTGGCCCTATGACCTTGAAATGACACCAAAGGCCATATATAATAATCTACGAAGACTTATAATACGATGGGTTTACCTATACACATTCTCAACGAAGTACGATTTCATTAAAATCAAAATAAATTTAAATTAGATGAAAGATTCTTATAAAAAGTGCATTGCAACCGGTCATCCAACTAGACTTATGTCGCATAGAAAGAGCATAGACAACTAGACTTATAGAGCATAGAAAAGAGCCTAATTTAACTTCGGAGAAGAAAGTCAACATATCACAATCCAGTTTTTCAGGGAATCTCCTCTATGAGGGGATTCCTTTGATCAAAGGACATTCCCCTGATTAATTGGACAGCCCATTTCTGAGCTTGGAATGGAATCCAGTTTTTCAGGGAATCTCCTCTATGAGGGGATTCCCTTGATCAAAGGACATCCCCCTGATTAATTGGACAGCCCATTTCTGAGCTTGGAATGGAAAATATACAAGGGAAGGGAGCGCAGACAAAATTCAAAATTGGATAACAGGAAACGATAAAAACTTAAGCTATACGATCACGTGATCTCCAGTGGTACACAATACCGCCGAAGCAAACATTAATGAAAACAAGGCAAATGAGTTCGTATCACCATGGGTACCAGATTTACAAGATATATTTATAGTACATTTAAAAAATATGACTAAGAATATGCATAAATACAAAAAGTCGTTTAGGGAACTTTGAATAGCTAAAGACGGCTACCGACATACAATGGCCAATATAACCTACTTAGCCTCGGTATGATGCTGCACCTAACAGAGGCTAGCAAGTTTGATCACAAACGGTCATGCCGTCTGTTTGGTTGGCAGTTTGTTGAGGCTTTGAATCATTGGGGTTAGAGTCATGTAGGGTTCTAGTTATTGGGGGTTCAATTTGGGGTATTTAAGGGTATTGGTAAAACTGAATACAATGCGAATATAAGTAAGTAAAGCTAGTTTCATATGGCGATGTCTAGATTGCCATTGATAATGATTGGTTTGCTTCAGTGACGGACACCTAGATGGGGGAGAAGGGGGGAGAAGGGGGAGATGGGGAAAAGGGGGGAGAAAAGTGGGCGGTTGCACCAAATGTTCTGGAAGACAATGGTCTTTTGTTCTAAAATAATGGACAAATGTGTTGTCATCTTATCAAAAGAATAGGCTGGCCCTCCCCCTCCCCCCAAACTGTAGTAGGATTAATACTTTGTTTATCACTCTATTGTTGTAATTGCACATGCGCACTGTAAATAGTATAAAAAGTCTTGTTATTGTAATTAAGGGGGAGTTGATGAGATGTTGATGAATGATAATCTTGTAATGATATTTGTGTGTTAATAATAGGATGAAAATTACAAAGTTGAGTTTTCCTTAGCGTGAAACTTAAAAATACATAAAGCTCTACCACAGTTTGGTGTAGGACCCGGTTTGTGCTAATAAATAGCCGACCGTTGATCTCGTTTATTAGCATGCAAAATTTACTCGAACTGGAGGATCTGGGATACAAACTTACAACAGAAATCAGCCCTTGGGTGAAATAAGAATTAACCAGCCTAAAATCAAACACAATAGGCCTCCGATCTGGCTTTATTGAATATTCCCAAAGTGGCCGACCCAACCGCTGACAACACGTGATTCATTGATCGATTGAATATGATTGAATCATCAGATACAGATGATTCATCGGTACACAACACGTGACTAATCATAATTGGTTGCCTAGCAGGTGACAGATTCATACCGAGGCTAACTCAAGAGGACATCGGAGAAGGCATTTATGTTAAAAATCTTACTAGATTATGATGCAAATGGATACAACTTCAGTCCGACTATACGCAATAATATCACGACCGCGTTTACATTGTGTACAATCTGTAGGCCAATCTGGATACGAGGTCCTTCCATAATGGCCTAAGTAAGAAGATATATCATACTTGCAGAGAGTTGTCTCTCTCTGATTGCTGTAGTGTGTTCCTATTGGGCGCTGAATGCTCCTTCAAAGCGTATGATGGAGCCTCAGTTGACTTTCTAAGAATCTATAAACAAAAAAAACCATCAGGAAGATTTTCTTTATAGCGGAGGGGGTGCGTCTGGCTTCCTTTCCAGTGGGGCAGGGGTTTCTGGCTTCCTTTACATTTGGGGGGAGGAGCGTCTATCTCTGGTTTAGGGATTATACACTAAGGGGTTTGTCAGATTCAGGCTAACTTTAACACAAAAGAAGTGCCTGGGGGAGGGGGGACGGTTATGCAAATAAAAATGTTAAATTCATAAATTCATGTACAGATTTGGTAAGTTTGTGTTGTCTTCTTAAGATATTATTCAATACTGTGGTTGTCATATACAATATCACATTCACAGATGACCAACATACACACACACAGATGAAGAAAATTCTCTACAACATCCGAAACTGAAACATTCTAATCAAGCTCTAGAACAAAGAGCACGTTGACTAGCGCCAGGAAACGTGTTGGTCAGTTATAAGAAAACATATGACAAGCAGTCTGTTCAAAATTAAGGTTGAATAACATACCTGAGTCCGACTATCAGCTGATTCAGCCGAATCTATATCATCAGTTGTGTTGCTGCTCGAACTTGATTGCAAGCTATTTCGATCCTTGATATCGCCGCGGCTACCAACACCACTGTTATTCGCGGGCGTAGAACTGAACTCTCGTTGTTCGCGCGAACTGAGCGGTTGGCCGCGTAACCGCCTATGGAAAATACAAAAACAATCAGCTGGTCCTCGTTTTGAAAGGGGTTCTCCTTTACCAGGGGTAACTTTGATGAGAGCGTTTCTTTATATAGACGGGGGTACCTTTGAGCGATTAACCCGATCTTCCATCGAAATGAAACACAAGGGTTACTTCACCAATACCACCTCTTGCTAGGAATCTTAGGGTAGCAGGAACGATAGAGGCGATGCCCCAACCCCATGTACCCCTTTTGTCGGATACCAAATCTTTGAAAGACGAGGTACCGACACTATCCCCACATAACCCCTTAGCTGGGACCCTAGACACTTGGGAAAGTTGCATCGAACCGACAGATTCCTTTCTGTGAGACTGAAGTGCCGAAAGAAATGAGTTGCATTGCTCCACACCAAATAACTTCTCGAGAAACTTATTAAGTAGACCACTAGCTATGAATCTAATATTAATGAGGTTTTTTATCAAGGGGACTGGGGTAAGTCACCTCCAGCAACCCTATGGTGCCTGCTTTAGCCTTCATCACGGAAAATAGTGAATTATGGCCTGGGACATAATAATGGCCTAGGAACTTTTATAGCATTGTTTAATTCGCATCGAATTATGTGTGTCGGTTGTTGGCTCTCAGGTGCGGCTTTGCAGGCAGGTGATGCATCTTTCCTGATTCACCTGCTAGTTTTTATTCTTTCTATGTTAATTTGCCACGGGGTTGTCATAGTCTATTGCTCCCTGTGGTATCAACGTCCTTGTATTGTTTGTTGAGTAATTAGTAGGTAGCGTAATACTTGTCTTGTAAACTTTTAGTGGAATATAAAAAAAAATAATGAATTGAAGATAGCAAATCATACAAAACTGAAAAAAAGCACTTTGAAGTGGCCAAAACCTACCCATGCAGGAGACATGTACAAGTACAAACAGGCTGCCCACTAGAGCCCCCCGTCAGCTCAATTGCTGTCTGGTACCTGGGCATTAACGGCTGTGAGGCAGCTTCGTTTTCACCGGGTGTACGTCCTATAAAGAAAAAGTACAAAGAATCAGTGAAGTTAAAACTCCAGCCAGAGATATCCAAATCATCAAATAGACCCAAATGTGCAATGGCTCAGATATGACCAGATGAGCACAAGCTCTGGGCCCATCAAACCTCTGTAATTTTGTCACTTTTTTGACATATTTACGAGATTCTGCACATTCAGAGGCGTATCATGGTGCTCTTTTAGGTTATCATGTAGTTATGTAGTCAAATTTTAAAATTCTAAAAATAGAGATTTTATGACGTCACACTTTGGAGCTTCTATCCTACTGTAAGTCCTTGAATAAACCCCTAGGGGGGTTTTTTGAGAGGGGGGATATTTGAGAGGGGGCTTATTTGAGAGGGATTATTAGAGGGGGCTTGTTTGAAGTTGGGGGCTTATTCGAGGACTTACGGTATTTGAAAATCATTACAGGAAAGGAAAAAGTAGAAGAAAAAATGAGCTAAATGTGCCTACCATTAGGATTTTTTGATCCAGCGGAACATCTTGAGCCGCAATCGGCTTCCTTGTACAAAGAATTGTGCTCCAGGGCAGCTAACCTTTGTAAATATAAAAACTCATCGTTGTGCAATCCACTCTTGGTGGCTTTGCTTTGGTCTTCATGGGCGCACTCCGCAGACTTGACCCTGAAAATTTGGAGTTGTCGATTATTAGGGGGCATAAGGATAAACGGAAACAAAGGAAAATGGATTTGGAGCAATTTGCTTTTTAGAGAACTTTAGGAAAGAAATCTGTAGCTGCTCGCCAGCATTGAGGAGAGCCTGGAGGGGTGCAAGAGCTATGGCGCTCTTCAGACGGCCAGGCCTGAAACTCCATTTTTTGGACAAATAGTATTTGGTTCTGGCCCATCTGAAGTCATTATCACATTATCGAGTACGGACGTCAACATGGGGACCCCCATTACTTTCTGTTGCCACGACCCCAAAATTCTTAATGCGGCCTAGCCAGCAACAGGAGATGTCAGTAAGAAGGAGAGGCTGGTTACTTGGAGGAGCCAAAGTCAAATGGGGTTATCTTTGTCAAACCTGAAAACAAAGGCAAGCTTTTTCCACTTGGATAAAGAGCAAGGACATGTCTGTTTCATCCTGCTTCAGGGCAGGTTGACAGAACCTTTGAGGGATCAGGGCAAAGTTGATAAATTCAGCAAGAACTAGTTTTGCTTGGCGAACTAGAGTTCGGCGATGGTAAAGAATCCGGTAACGAGAATCCGATTAACCTCAAGTCATACACGTTGAGGAGTTTTTAACTGCATTAACGAATCACAGGTCGCTTAGGGTCAGAGAACGCTCTCTCAAGAATATGACATCCAGCAAAACATGATACCTTTCCGGATTCTTCATGTCCGCCCGCATCATTACCCATTGTTTAGACAATTTAGATTACATTTGTCACAATTTTGTCATGCTTCCCTAGCCCGAGCCCTAAATAAGCAAATAATAGAGAACTTTTGTGGCAGAAGCAGAAAACGACCGAGGGAATGAAGGAGATGTTGCGGGCCTACCTGAATGGATTTTTCCAAATGAAGACAGCCACAAAGGTCAGTATAAAAACGGAAGCAATTGAACAGCCAATGATAATCCCAAGTTTCGTGTCACTTGACATCAAATCATTGCTGCTCTCTGATTGGTTGACGTTAATTTCCGTTGGTACTGTCAAAGAAAAATACAACAATAAGACAGTGATGACGTCATAAATTTTAAACTTTGATAAAACTAATTGTATAATGTCTCCGAACATGGAAAAACAGTTAAATGTATCGAAAGTTGGCTTTGATATGGACAATGAATGATTTTATATTTGCAGCTCAACTAGTTATGGTAAATAGCACCTTGGATTCCAAAAGCACAGTGGCGGACACCTGGGGGGGGGCGAGGGGGCGGCCGTCCCCCAATATTTTGGAATATAATGGTCTTGTAAATATACTAAAATGCGTGCGGTACATTATGCTGCTATAATAACGATCAATGTAAGTAAATTGTACCAGGAAAACGTTATCAAGTGAAAACGGGCTATGCTCGAAACGTCGATATTTATTTAAAAAAAAACTTTCCTGGTACAATTTACTTACATTGATCGTTACTATAATGGTCTTGTGTTCTAGAACAATGGGAAAATGTGACGTCATCTCATCAAAACAATAGGTTTGCCCCGCAATCTTTGAGCAAGTGTCCGCCCCTGTACAAGCACTCTGGATTAATAGGGCAAAATATACGGTTTCATATAGGCTGACGTCATGAGCCTCTGTTTCGCTGCTGCCTCACTTTACGGATGTGTCTAGGGGTTTATTCGAGAAATGTAACAAGGCAGCTTAGATGCCCGTTTTTCCCCTAGGCCGCCCGAGTACCAGACTTACCAGAACTGCCTAAGTGTCCATTATGCCCAAGTGCCCATTATGGCTCTCTTCCTTGCAAAAAATGCTTAATACATTTCACATAAAATAATATATATTGATTACTACCCTACCTGTCGTTGCCTTCCTCAGTGCGCATGACTCAACAACAACACTCTGGCCGCCTCCTGCACTATTCACTGCATAAACCTCGATTCGATATTTCTTATAGTAATCTGCATCGAGGTTATGAAATAGGGGATAACCCTTTGAATTTGGCTCCATAACAACCACTGCAGTCTTCCATTCTGTTTTTATTTTCCGCGCCAAATGCTTGTATCGAATGACATATTTGGTAATTAGGCCACGTGGGTATTCTGGCGGCAACCACGTGACTTTAGCAGTGTGCGCATTTTTGCTGACATTGCAGAACACATTTTTGGGAGGTCCGGGTCCTGAAACACAAAATAAACTTTTGATGAAAACCAAATAACAGATTCATATATAATCTTATACACGTCTTTAAATAAACATTTTCGGAGCGGTACAAAATTTAAAAATGGCTTTGAAAAAAGCAAACAGTTTACGAAATACCTAAAACTTTTTGTAATATCTTGAGGCATTGTAATATCTTTTAAAACATAATAATATAATAATAATAATAATCATCAATTTATTTATAGTAGGCGGGTATAATATAGATGTTTATGACAATTTGTGTACAAGCTAATTTAGGCCTACTTTACAAAAATTTAGAATAAAAAGCAATCAAGAATGAATAAATGATAATTACAAATATAAAACAATTAGTTAATTAATGAAAGAAATGAAATTGAATAATGAAAAAAAATTAATTTTTACGATACGTTTACAGTTAAAAGATGTTTTAAAATTTCGTATAATGGGTGTTGGCAAGACAACTGAGAGAAATAGAGTTTCGAGATTATCGCTAGCATTGGGCTCCCGGGGGGTTTCCAAGTTCTATAGAAGGGGAATTTCTTATTCATTATCACGCATTGACTGGAATCTGGCGAGAACGGAGTGGTTTGAAAACATAGACAATTTAGAATAGAACGGAATTTCCTATAACCTTACTATAAAGCAAAAATAGCCGGAAAACGCTGTGAAACTTACTTGCTTCGGCCGTTTTACATGCGACAATTTCACTCTGAAAACTCGGAAGAGTTATTTTCCGCTTGATCTTCCGGGCCACCTCATCAACACGGTGCTGTTTGGCCACGGCATTGACGCGGATATAATACCATGTGCCGCGCGTCAGATTCTTCAAAAGATAACGCAAGTTTCTTGTGTGATAAGTCTTGTACTTCTCAATCTGCCGCCCGCCTAGTTCTATATTCACGGCATAATGATCAACGTCAGCGGCGCGCATTGGGGCGACCCATGATAAGAAGATTGAAGTGTTGTCTTTCACCGCGCATTCTGGATCCCGCGGATTCGAAATCCTGAGAGAATCCAGATCACCTGGTATTGCCGGTGCCTTATCAACACTGTGGATAATAATAGATGATTTACTCATGACCGGGCCCGAAACAATCCTTAACTCGAATCTGTAATCCTTTTCAGAATTGAGGTTCCGCATTACATAAAAGCGTTCGTCGGATTTAAGATTGATTATACGAACTTCGTGCCAGTAATCCGCAACTACAATAGGTACACAAACCAATCTGAATCCGGTTATGTAGCCGCTTGTCCTTAGTGTCCACGTGATCTTAACGGCTGATGAATTTACAGGATGCAGTTCCATTTGGGGGCCTTTCTCACCTGTCGGGGGGAGAAAATAGAATTATCGAGCAGACGCAACATGTGATATAGATAAAAGTGACGTCATTTCAACTGAGAAATAGCTGTAGAGGAAACTGCCTTAGGGGGGTAGAACCCCCAGATTTAGGAGTGCAGAGCAATAGACTAGGCTAAATGAGATTTGAAGGCCCCCTGGAAAAACAATGCTGTATTTTTAGAAGAATTTGACATTTTGCATTTACCGAAAACAACAAATTTAACTTTATCTTTATCGTTGCTTAGATATTAAGGAGATTCAGACAATGAATTGACAAAGGATATAATCGAAGGTGACATAATGGTCCCGACCCCGATTTTTAGACGATTTTCTGTCCCCACCCCCCTCCCAAATCGTTTAGCTAAAAAACCTTGACAAAAAATTCATACTTGCGATTTCCGGGTCACCCGTCTTGATGGTTGATTTTGCTGCCTCGCCGAATCCCGCGCTAGTTGCTGCAGAAACCTCGATTATGTACAGTTCACCAAGTTCAAGATCCATGATATCAACCTGCGTTTTTCCCGCGGGTACGAAAATAGTCTCGCGGTTGAATCCAGCAATTCCATATTCAACTTTATACTGAGTGATGCGACCGTTAGCAATTTCTGGAGGTATGGGCGTCCAAATAACACGAATTGTCTATGAAAAATAAATGCAAATTAGAAATGAAAGGGTGGGGAAAACAAATACGGAAAAATGACTGATATAGCACAAAATAACAAATCGAAGCATAACTTGTGAAATCCCTTTACCATAAACACAAAATATTGGTTTCAAAGAATTTGTAAAGCAGATATAGGCTTCCCATTGAAACCATTTTTATAACTTACTTCGTAGAGCCATCGAAATAAAATTTTATCAAAGATAAAATAAATGATTTTACAGATGAAACATAGTTGCTTTGCCTACCTAATGATAAAATGATTTAAAATTGGGAAAAAACTAAGTTGAAAAGGAAAAAGAGTTGAAGTGATACCAACCTTATTTCCAAGGTTCACTGCATTTAGTGGCCGCGGGGACATTCCTGGAACTGAAAAATATTACCGCTATTTAGTGAGAATTCATGTAAGTTCCCAAGAAATAGAAACCCGGAAGTAATTCTGATTGGCTTAAATTCAATAAAATCGCTCGATTGGTCAATTTCTTATTGGAAGTACTAATCGATCCAATCAGATAGGATATGTTGCTATTGACATGAGAAATGTTAGGAAACACTTTAGAAGTGCTTGCCCAAAATTCTGTAGGAGGGGACGGAACGGATCCACGTCTTGTTTTTTCCTTTCATGGTGACCGCGCGGTTAAAGGTCAGCTTAGCGCAACCGGCATGCTTTGCGTCTATCGTACAGGATGAAAATACAAAACACAGTTAATTTCTCAAGACTGCCGCTAAGCATGCTGATTGCGCGAAAATCTTACAAACGGTCTAAAAATTGATCAAAAGTTAAGAACAAATTAGAAACAAGCTGAGGCAGAGCTACTCTGAAATGTAATTTTGAACAACGTTGTATCTCAATAACGAGAATCTTTGGCTAGGTGTGGGTGATTTTCCGGTGAATATTCAAACTTGGCGGCGAATGAAGGTTGTCTCATTAACTTTTTTGCCAAATGAGGCCTGAACACCTAGAGCGAAAAAGCTAGCAATCGCTTATCCTATTTATTTAAGAACAAATTAAGAACAATCCAGCCTCAGATTTTCGAACAAATTAAGAACAGTCAGCCTGAACTTAAATTTACTGGTTCCTATGAAAAAAGAACTCATGGCAAGTTCTGATAGATATTGTAACATAATAAAACCCACGCTAACTTACCACTTTCAAGTGTCCTAACACGCGCAACTTGAGAGTTACCGCTCTTTTGTCCATTTCGGCCATATGTCGACAGGTAGATGGAATAGAGTCGTCCTCCAAGTAGCTGGTCAATTTTCCAGTGCGTCGCCGATACCTCACCAACGACGCGCTCTTTCTTCGCGCGTTTCAGGGAGCTGGTGAAATATTCGTAGAACACAATGTGAGCGAGTACTGCGTTGTTGTTGTTCAACGGATTCGGTTGCCAGGTAACATTGACAGATGTTGCAGATAATGCAACGGCTTTCACGTTAATTGGGGGCCTAAGTGCGTTATCTACGAGAGAAAAAACATGGAAACTTATAAAAGTGTTGATTTATAAACACATAGTTATTGATGCCGTATAGACGGAGTTGTGTTGGTGGGTATCAAAAGAACATTTATAGCAATGTCATGGAGCAATACCCTCCTCATTTTCATTTTTTCAATTATTTAAACATGGTAGCCCATTCAGCAATGCTTGTTTACAAGGGGCCATGCATCTAAACTAAAAGAAACACTGACATAAAATGGAATAAAGAGAATTATTACATCTAAACATGATAAGATACGCTACACAACCACTTGTAACCAACTCTACCCTCGCAATTTTTGATACTCTTTTAAAACGTTATTCTAAATTCTATTTCTCTTGATGTGTCAAATTTACAATATATACATATCTATATATTTACAAACCTGAACTATGATACTAAAACTAAACAAGTAAAACAAAAACTTTTAGAGCAAAGTTTAAAATTTTCTTAAAGATGTTGCCTTCTTAGCTTCGTAATCTAGATTATTCCAAAACTTAGCATCTGTTTGGTCACGCTATGCTACAGTTGAAGAAAGAAGAACTAGGGCTTGTTATGAAAGCTGATCATTCAGAGAGAATGATGTACAGAAAATGAATGTACAGTTTTCGATAAGATGCCTCAGTAATTAATTGTCAATATTCTAGATACATACCTATAAAAACAAAGGTCGCATGGCTTACGAAGCCAACCTTGTTGGCCGCAATGCATTGATATATCCCAACATCCTCTTGTAGCACTGACTTGATCAACACACTACCAGAGTCATCCAACCTCAATTGCTCTGTGGCAGCCAGCCTCTTTCCATCTTTGTACCACGTGATTTTTGGCGGTGGATTACCGATGACTGGACACGTGATGGACAAAGGAAACCTACTGGGAGTGAGTTTTCGTTTCGAAGGGGCTGGCGACAGCTTTGGGCGCGCTAAAATCAAAGCAAACAATATCAAAATACTTATGTTCAGTCAAGGAAAAACTTTTTGGCGATCCAAGACGAAATAAAGTTCAACTTCGAAGATGTAACCACGTCTAAGTTATATATATAGAGTAGAAATGGTTCAAGAACATAATTTATCATATTTCAAATCTGCGAATCTTTCATAATCTCTTTTGAGAATGCAATAAATTCGAGGCCTAAACTGGGCAAAGTAACTGTTCTTCTGTCACTAATAATACGTCTCAGTATCGCCAATCGGATGACATATTAAAAAGGGAATTTATTGAAACTATTCGAGAACCTGTTCAGCCAAACAGCTACCATTTCTGCAAATTTATTACAAGTTTAACCAAACAATTTACAGTTCAACCAGATAGTTACTAGCTGAACTAAACTGCGTCCAACTAAACCAAACAGCTACCATTTCTGCCAATTAGTTACAAGTTTAAACAAACAATTTACAGTTCAACCAGATAGTTACTAGCTGAACTAAACTGCGTCCAACTAAACCAAACAGCTACCATTTCTGCAAATTTATTACAAGTTTAAACAAACAATTTACAGTTCAACCAGATAGTTACTAGCTGAACTAAACTGCGTCCAACTAAACCAAACAGTTAGCAGTTCAACTAAACAGTGTCAAGTTTAACCAAACACTTACAAAGTCAACCAAACAGTGTCCAGTTCAACCAAACAGTTACCAGCTGAACTAAACTGCGTCCTACTAAACCAAACAGTTGACTGTTCAACTAAAGAAAGACTAGTCTAATCAAAGAGAACCAGACTAGGTCAAGTTTAACTAAACAGTTACCAGTTTCAAAAGATAAATTATTTCAATAGGTAACTGTGCAGTAAATAAAACTAATTTAATAAAACAGAAACATGTTTGCGTAAAAATGAAACAGCACTTACAGAACACTTTGAGCCAAATGTTGCGTGTTATCTTCGCTTCTCCGGACTTTGCATAGCAAACATATTTTCCAGCATGACCTGGTCCGACTTTTTCTATCCTGTACACTGCAGCTTGTAGGCCTGTGGCAACAACGTTCGGAACTGGTTGTACATCATGTGAGATAGTGACAAGTGCAGTTGGGCTCCCTGTGGCTGCACATGGTATGGACACAGATTGACCTTCGGTAACATCCACGCTTTCAGGACAGTAACTAAAGGTAGGTGGGGTGTGCACCTCCAGAGGGGGAGCTGCGGAGAAATTCGAAATGACGTGATACAGAAGTTGGTATTTTAGCCAATTTACTTTTAAAGGCTGCGTTGCGCGCCGTTCATTGATTAACCGATAAGGACGTATCTTATCTTACTAGCCTTCATTTGGTAGCAAAGGAGCAGGCCTGGCTGATTGCGGAAAGCCATAGCTCTTGCTCCCCTCCAGGATCTCATCAAATGCCGGAGAGGAGCTACAGATTGCTCTCCTAAATGAATCGAAAAGCAAATTGCTCGCCTTGAAATCAAACTATTCTTTGTTTCTATTCATATTCATCTACAAAAGCCTGGAAATTACTAGGAGAGCTGTTTACTGCTTCCCTCGCGAAAATCTTATGGCAAGGCCTGAAGGATGTCTCTTACTTGCTATTGAGCAGTTTACTAATTTCACTTTTCTCTAATTTCGAGGACCCTTGAAATTCAATAGACAATAGCTGACGAATAGCGCGACACACTGCATTTAATCACAAACCAAACATATTTCAAACAAAACGAGGCTACTAGTAGATAAAGGAGGCTGGAACTTAGCTCTACTCACCAACAACGAAGTCTACTTTGTTACTTGCAAACTCCTTGCCAACCTGCATCCGCACCCTGCATTGGTAAGATCCGGCATCGCTAGCATCAACATTCCTCACAACTAGGAACCCCCCTGGCAACGTGCTGGCCTTTACACTGTCTTTCAATGTCAGCAGTCCCCCGTCCTTGTACCACTGAATGCTTGAATCCGGTACTAATTCGACATTACAACTCAAGATAAGAGTATTTCTAGGGGGCAACGATTGTCTGCTTGGCTGCAAACTCACCGGGTTCTTACTGTCGCCTGCAAAATAAAAATAACCAAATTTGTATTTAATCGCCATTTATTGACCTTTTTGATAGCAACGACCGATTTAAGATGACACGAAATAGCGGAGATAAGACATTTGTTACAGGAATTTGGTTTATACAACCCGATGATCCACAGTTTACAAAAGCTATACTCTTTTCATAAAAACCAGATAATTACTGATCAGGTTCTACGTTTATACTTCTGCGGTAATCTGAGGTTGGAGCTTTTTCAACGTTGTTCTTAAATTAAGACTTGGGTCAACATTTACTTTTCCACAACTAAAAGTTGATTCTAAAAACAACTACATAACAGTTTCGCATGACGTAACGTCAATGAGCTATGAAAATCTACTCTGTTTTGTTAACAAAGGAGAATATTTTCAAAAACTGACGTTATTATCTTCTAATCTTTTATCTGAGGCTGGGAATGTTCTTATGTTGCTCTTTTTGTGGCAAATCGAGCCTCAATTATCTTACAAAGTGTATTTTTATAAAAAAATAGTTAAGGTGACTTAACTGAAGGTGCAGACCGTAAGTCATGCGAAGACAAGACGTTCGTTAAAATTCAAGACAGTCAATTTGATGTGTATGGTTTTGGGCGTGGCTGTGACGTCATAGCTACGTCACAATGACGAATTTAGGTAATTTAAGTCATGCGAAGACAAGAAGTTCGTTTAATTCAAGACAGTCAATTTGATGTGTATGGTTTTGGATTTGGGCGTGGCTGTGACGTCATAGCTACGTCATAATGACGAATTTAGGTCATTTTCTAAAAATTAATTCCTTTCCTATAAAACGTGTTAGTGTTATTTGAGAAAGTTACGTAAATTAGGGTTCTTTTATGATGCAGGGACTATACTCATTTTTTTATAAGAAACAAAGGTCGATGTTGAATTTTCCAGTTTTTTAATGCTCTGGAAATTTCAATACTCATTGTTTCTTAAGAGTTTCTTAAGAATTATGATGTCATGAATGATGTTATAAAATATTTGTTACCACGTCAAGAGATTCGCTTCCATTCTGACGCTGTATTTAGATGTGGAAAGTATATTTTTATCTCTTGTGTCTTAATTTCTAGGCCATCAGGGCAATCATGTTCTTGGATTTTACAAAATTTTTGTTGTTCTCAGTTTTATCCTGATTTAATAGTTTCTTAATTTTTTTGCTTCGGGTACTGAAATTTCTTAATTTTTTCTGACTTTCCAGTACTTGTTTCTTATAGCCAGTTTCTTATATAAAAAAAATGATTGTATTTTGCTGAACCTGTCATAGTTGCAGAATTTGCACGTCTGTACTCGCAGGTAATCAAAAAACGTTTAGGCCCATAACTTTTGTGGACCAGAAGGATTTGTGTGGTTAACGGCTCTTGATTTTTTCTCAAAAACAAGGATGCCAATGGCAATCCTGAACTTAAACGTCCCCTCCTTTGC